GACTCCGACCTTTGAAGAGCCGACTCTTGCCTGGACAACTGGTCTTTGAGAGGGCGACAAAAGTGGATGGCCGTAAGGACGACTGAGTACCAATAACATTATTCGTACGCCATTTCGCCAGACTTTTCTTTGAGTCTGACGGTACCTGCTAACGCTCTCAATTGCTGCTTGCACTCTGTGATGAAAACGCTCCGTCCTTTGGCCGTCGCAGACGGTTCTAGCTCCCCAGGGAAGTGTTGATGCAGTCGAGCCTCTGACGGCAGAGCAGGAATGATGTTCAGCGGCTTCTGATTTTCATCCTTGGATCCATCTTTCTCTTCGTCGGCCAAAAAATTGATGGTGGTGTCGTACGCTGTGGGCGCCTTGCTGATACCGGTCTCTCCTCTGTATCTGCAGGCGTCGAAAGATTATGATCCGATACTTTGCCAGCGCGTGCCCGTTCTCTTCTCCGAGGGCCTTTTGACATAGGACGTGTCTGATTGTTTTTGACCCACGGCTGTCTTTCGAACGCGTCCGCAACAGGTGTTGATCCGTACTCTGTCCGTGTGACCACAATTTCTGCAAGCCTGTCGCTCCAAGAAGTTGGAAGTAGCACACGCACCACAGAACCACGACTTGGAGGACATTGAATGATGCTGATTGAGTAGCCGTCTTGCCTTGATAACCGAAGGTTCAGACAATCTGGCAATGACGCGAGCCTGCGCTCGCGCCTCCCGCTGACGACGATGCCAGGCAGGATGAGTCTTCTTCCGCCGAAGTCCAGGAATCTCGGCAGGCGCGGTCAGCCACTCGAGGCGGCCAACGCGCTGGCACCGAACACTGGTACAGTATATGGAGTATGCTGTGTCCAAAAAGGGCAAACGCCCCACCTCGTCGCTACTCAGGTAGACGACCCAGACGGGGATTCGGATGGGGGGGGCGCCGCGTTCGGGCCTAGGAGGAGGAGGAGGAGGAGGAGGAGGAGGAGGAGGAGGAGGGGGAGGAGAACGACGACGACGACGACGATGACGGCGACGACGACGACGATAACGACGGCGGCGACCTCAACCACGACCACGACCACGCGGACGACCACGCCCACGCCCACACCCACGCCCGCGCCCACGCCCGCGCCCACGCCCACGCCGACGCTGACGCCGACGCTGTCGCTGGCGCTGACGCCGATGCCGCCGCCGCGGATGTTGACGCCAACGCCGCCGCCGCCGCTCTCCGACGACGACGACCACCACGACCACCACCACGACCACCAAGACCACCACCACGACCATCACCACGATCACCACGACCGCGACCACCACGCCGACGATCTTTAAGGTTTTTGATGATGACGACTGGTGCCCGTACAGACAGAGTTGTGGCTGGTATGTTGATCGTTACCTCACCCACTTGTTTAAATTTCAGGATATCGTCAGGTCCCGTGGCTTTCCCATCCTGTATGAGCGAAAGGATGTGCACAGGGAATATATGCATGTGCTGAAGCGATACCACTTGCCCGCCGCCCCCCCCCTCATGAAGCTCTCTTTCGTCGGGCTTGTGCGTGGATCCCTGGGGTTAGCATCCTTGACATTGGTCGTGTCTGTTCCCTGGTCAAAGCTCTGACGAGACGTTCCAGCATGTATCTCCCCTTAGCTATTGTTCGTTTGCTCTTCAGGTGTGTCTGCACTAGTGCTAGATTCCATGCTGCTCCCAGAGGCTGTATTCTTGGATGCCCGTGTCCTTCGAACCCCTATTGCGACTTCGACGACATGGCACATTATCTTGTATGCCCCAGGCTCAGACAGTTATTCTCTCAGTGGATGGGCTCCTGGGTTCCTGCTTCCTCTGGGTCTCCTGAGGGTTCGCCCTGGTTCCACTCTTACCTCCTTTTCGTGGGATGGGTCCTGATCAGTGCCTTTTAAGTTCGATGCTTTGCGATGCGTTTCTAGGTATGCACACCTCGGTCAGATATGGCTTGCCTGGCACGCCGCCCCAGCAGTTTGAAGCCCGTCTCCGAATGCAGGCGACACGGCACCGAACTTGCAGACCAGTGTGGCCGGTGGAAGGGAGGGGTCACCTTAAAATCCGCCCCATTTTAGGGTGACCTTTGGCGCCCTTTCAGGAGTATTATATATATGTATGTATAACAAAAAAAACACCACGCCGACGACGACCACGACGACGACCACGACGACGACCACGACCACGACCACGACCACGACCACCACGACCACCGCGACCACCACGACCACCACGACCACCATGACAACGACGACCACCACCACGACTACGACCACGACGACGACCACGCCGACGCCGCCGACGCCGACGCCGACGACTGCGACGACGACGACGACGACGACCACGGATGCGCCCCCGCCGCGCCCCGCCCCCCGACCCCCCCGCAGGTTCCTCCGCGCCGCTGGAGGCCTTGGGCGCCCGCGGGGCGCGGTGGCGGCGGCGCTCGGTCCCTGGAGGCCTCCGCGGCGGCCGCGCGGAAAAGTTGCCGCCGTCGTCGTCTTCGTCGTCGTCGTCGTCGTCGTCGTCGTCGTCATCGTGGTCGTCGTCGTGGTCGTGGTCGTGGTTGTGGTTGTCCTTGTCGTCGTCCGTCGTCGTCGGGGGACGGCGCATGGCCAGACCGCCCCTTGCAGAAGATCGCACAAGACGCGCGGGTTGTCGCTCATTTCCTCTTCCCCTGGTCGCCGCTCGCATCAGTCTGTGGACGCTCTTGCCGCGCTGTTCTGCGCATTGCGCCCCTCGTGGGCCCCTGCCCTGGTCGCGGTGCATGCGCGCCTCGGAAGAAGGATTGCCACCCTGGTGCTCGGCCTGAAGGATCTGTTGGGGTCGTGGGTGCCAGCGCCGGTTGCCTAGCCCTTCTGGGTGCACCTGGCAGAATGTGGCTGCGTGCGTGGCGCGTTGGATTCGAGTATGCAGACGGTTTGATTGTAAGGTTGAGGTTCAACCAATGTAACCGCTGGCCCTTGAAAATAGGGAATGTGCAGGACCATGTGCCTTCGAAAGGATGGAGTGACACCATTCGCCATCGAGTGTATCCGCTGACTCGCGAAAGGTAGTGCAACCACTGGCCCTGAACAGGAGAGAATCTGACCATTCATATCCCACAGGAGGAAGTGAATGAGGTACGCCATTGTTGGACAGATGCGGTGGCTGTACATTTGATTACATATGGTTACGCTAGCTCGATGGGTGTGCGGCTTTGTTTTCATACTTTCCCAGTTCGTGTTCGTGCCCAACGTTGGCGTTTATGTTGGAAGTCTTTACACTTGGTTTTGCTTGATCGCCTAATATTGTCCTTAGGGCGTGAAGAGTTGGCCCACAACTTTGGTTGAAATCTCTTGCGTCGCTGAACTGTGTCTTACAATGGTTCGCTGAACGTCTCATTTTGTTGTTTTATAAAAAGTTTGTCATATATGAGATGATGCCGGCTTCATATGGCATATCCCATCGGCACGTCCAGAGATTATGTTATCGTCCAGTGTCTCGTCCCAGCTGCTCCAACCTGCAATGGTTCCGTTTTTTCTATGCAATGCAGAGGTGCACCACGCTACACGAGCATGACACGACACCATCCCATGCATCCGCTTGCATCAGTTGTGCAAATTTGGTGAGCTGTACAGTTTGGCTTTGACTTTCGTCGTTGCCTCTTGCTCGTCGTCCGTGCGGCTGGGCTGCATCTGCATATTCTTAGTGCCTGAACGTGGCTCTACGTGATGTGGCGTGCTCTCTGCCCTTGCAGCGCAGAGTCCATGTCTTCAATGTTTCGGCCCAACTGCGCGCGCAAGACACCACAGCTGCTTCCATATCGAAGCAGACTACATGTCTGCGTGTTCGTAACTGAAGTTGCACGGCCCGTGCTGGTGGCGTGACGCTGCCCGTCACAAGTCAGAGTTGGAATGAGTTGGATAAATCGGGCAAGCGGGGGCAGAAGAGGGTTGGAGGGTGAAGCAGGGCCATGATAATCATAGGAGAATCATGTTGATGCCGATGCCGTTTCATTGTTTTCGTTTTTGGGGGCCTCCTGGTGGGACCTCGTCGTTGCCGCGGCTCGATGCGCCTCGGATTCCTGGCAGAAGGCACCTTGGGAGAGGTCCAGGAAGCATCCGTATCAGTATCTCTCTGTTCCCCCAGGGGAGGCGACACTTACTGCGACAACATATGCGGGCAAGGGGGAGAGCCCAGGTAGGCAGAAGCCGACGTAGTGAAGCTCTGCGTGTGAGTGTGGCTGCAGGCGGCCAGGGATACCAGGTGGACGTTCGGAGCATGCGCGTCACAGTGCTTCTCTGGCCCCCCCGTCCTTTGGATCCGATCACCTGGCGTTTTCTCGCTCAGCCCGCTTGAGCCACGGTCTGGGGGTCAGGGGTGCAAGGCATTGGGGCCATAGCTTTGCTTTGGTTCTTGGTTGTCACGGCTTTGACTTTCTGGCTCCCTTGCCGCAGCTCGAGTGAGGGTGCCCCTGCCGTTCTATCATGGCTGCCCCTGGCGATGCGAAGGTGTAACAGTGCAGGCCATATGGTCCTTTCTTAGTTCAAGCTCCCGTTTTGGCTCAAGCTGCCATTTTGGCTCAAGCCAGTTTGGCTGAAGTCCCAGCCGTCCGCGCGATGGCCGCTCGGGACTGGACCAAGTGGAGGGGCTCTCGCCGCTGTCGATGGCGCCGCTTTCATTGCGGCCGCCGTGCGGTCGGCGATGATGCCGGAGCGCTGAGGCGCACTGTGGTTGTGGGTCGTGCGTTCGTCGGTGTCCACCGCTGCTTTCGCTGCGGCATGGACGCCGCCAGCGCCGACCTTTGCAGCCGGTGCCGAGGTGAAAGGCCAGGCGGCCGACAACGGCCGCGAGGCTGATCTGCGCTGGCGGCGTTGTGTTCGGCTCTAGGAGAGAAGGGCGGGCGGGCGAGCGCCGCCTGCAGGCTGTGGGACCCCTGCCGAACGAGGCGGGAGACATGGAGGCGACGTGATGCAGCCTGCTGGGGCGCAGGCGGCGGCTGCGCACCTGCGTCCAGTGGCGCTATGCAGGACGCCGCCATGAAGCGCGACTCGGCCGACCCTGACATCGATGACTGGGCCGACACCATGCCGCCCCGCATTTCACTGCGGCGGCAGCGGCACAGGCCCCTCCGTCGGGCGGGGAAGGCCGCGGCGGCGGACGCGGCGATGGCCGTGGAGCTTGCGGTGCCCCGACGTGCGGCGGCCGACCCGCCAACGCGCAAGGGTACAGCGGATGTCGCTTCGGAGATCGGGCGGTGGCAGGCCCTTCCGCCAGCGCGCTGGCGCCGGGGTGGCGGCGGCTGGCAGCTTGGCCGGCCTATGGTCGGGGGCGGACAGAACCCCCAACAGTGACACGCCGATTAGTGAATTGTCCGTTTTCGGCTCTCGAGAGGGCGCCGCGGCCGTTATTTTCCAGGCCTGCGCCCGCCAGGTTTGGGCCTCAGGTCGTTTTCACTAAACCACGTTTTACTAAAGGGAGGTCTGTCCATTCCCGAAATAGGGGCATCGGGCCTGTGAGCGCTCAGCCCTTGCTTTCCCTGCCCATTCATCCTCTGCCCTCCCTTAGCTCGCTGGACGTGGCAAATACGTGTTCATGCTTCTCACATCCGAAGGGTACGGTTGTTATCTTTGGACACACCGCGCAAGAAGGACCCCCTCACCCAACCTCTAATTTTTCACACGCTCGCATTGTTCGAAGCATCGCCATCATCATCTTCACCGTCATCACTCTCGTCACCATCATCGTCATCTTCATCACCATCATCAGCAGCAGCAGCCGCAGCAATATCTTCATTGCTATTGTTACGGTTATCATTCGCATCCTGACGGTTAGTAGAATCGCTATCATTGCCTGTACGAGTAGTGAGAGTACTACCATTCTTATTGTATGATTGCATTACGTCATAAGTTAATGGTTTAATCAAGCATGCCATAACCTACCCTTCTTATTAATAGCACACATGTTCGTATCATTCGTATTCGTAGTGATATGAATCTTATTATTTGTAGTTATTCTGACTAGCCCTCCTTGGTTGGGTATTCGTTTTGCATATATCACTGCGATGATGGATGAGTATAATGATGAAGTTGTTGAGCATGATTATGATGATGATGCTGATGATGATGATGATGATGATGATGATGATGATGATGATGGTGGTGGTGATGCTGATGCTGATGCTGATGCTGATGCTGGTGCCGATGCTGATGATGATGATGACGACGATGATGATGATGATGATGATGATGATGATGATGATGACGAGATTATGATGATGACGATGATGATGATGATGATGATGATGATGCTGATGCTGATGCTGATGCTGATGCTGATGCTGATGCTGATGCTGATGCTGATGATGATGATGATGATGATGATGATGATGATGATGATGACGATGGCGATGGCGATGACGATGAGCAGATGATGATGATGAGCAGATGATGAGGATGTCTCGAGCGGCTTGCTAGTTTTAGCTCTCCTAAGGGGAGGCCGCCAGGTGTATTGCACGGCCTCCGTTCGCGCCCAAATGGTGGGGATGTCTCAGGCGGTTTGCATGTTTTGGTCCGCAACATCCTCCTCTTTCGGAGCAGATTCTGAGGGTGTCTCAGGCGAGGCGCTAGTTTTCGCACCCCAGGGGGCCAGATTTCGAGGATGTCTCAATCGGTTGGCGTGTTTTGGTGGTCAGACTCGTCTGCTGTCAAATCAGATTCTGAGAATGTCTACGGCGAGGCGTTGATTTCCGCACTCCCAGAGGGTCCAGATTGCGAGGATGTCCTAGACTCACGTATGCTCACTCACTCGTGATCAGGCTCACTCGTATTCAGACTCGTTATCATCATACTCATACTCAGACTCACTCACACCCAGACTTACGCACACTCAGACTCACTCACACTTAGACCCAACCACCCTCAGACTCATTCGTAGTCAGACTCACTCGTACTCAGACCCACTCAGGGCCAGTTTCATTCCATCATATTCATACTCAGAGGCACTCACATTCAGATTTACCCACGCTCAGAATCATTCACACTCAGACTCACCCACCCTCAGATTCACTCGTAGTCAGACTCATTCGTACTCAGACCCATTCAGACTCAGACTCAGACTCACTGGCTTTCGCACCCCAGGGGAGGCAGATTGCGAGGATGTCCCAGACTCACTTGTCAGACTCGTTATCATCATACTCATACTCAGACTACTCACGCCCAGACGTACATACGCACACTCAGGCTCACTCACAATTAGGCCCACCCACCCTCAGAGTCACTCGTGGTCATACTCACTCGTACTCAGACCCACTCAGGGCCAGTTTCATACCCATTAAACTCACACTCAGACGCACTCACACTCAGATTTACTCACGCTCAGAGTCACTCACACTCAGACCCACCCACCCTCGGATTCACTCGTAGTCAGACTCATTCGTACTCAGACCCATTCAGACTGAGACTCGTACTCATTATACTGGAAAGGCCTGACGGCCGGTGCCGCCGACCCTGATCGAAAGGGCTAGGAGCGGGGGGAGGAAGCGGAGGATGAGGAGGAGGAGGAGGAGGAGAAGGAGGAGGAGCAGGAGGAGGAGAAGGAGGAGGAGGAGGAGGAGGAGGAGGAAGTGCATCCTTTGTGTCCGCTCGAAGAAAGTGCGCCCCGGGAGTGTGATATTCGGACTTGGGACGTGCTCCCAGAAGAGGAAGAAGTGCATCTCGGGCGTGCCCGCTCGAGGAAAATGCGCCCTAGGGGGGTGGTATTTTGACTCGGGGCCCGCTCCCGGGACGCCTCTGCGGGAGGAGGAGGAGGAGGAGGAGGAGGAGGAGAGGAGCAGGAGGAGGAGGAGGAGGAGGAGGAGGAGGAGGAGGAGGAAAACGAGGAGGAGGAGGAGGAGGAGGAGGAGGACCAGGAGGAGGAGGAAGTGCATCCCGTGCGTGCCCGCTCGAGGAAAGTGCGCCCCGGCGGGCGTCGTATTTGCCGCGCCCCCCCCCCCCCTTCCCCTGCGGGGAAGGGATCACAGGGAAGGGGCTTCCCTTCGACTCCACTACGACGTCGTTTCATTTCGCTTTGGATAGCGCGCTTGAGGATGAGAGCCCTGGGAGGGGGAGAACGGAGACGACGGAGACGACGAGTCGAACGGAGAAGCCCCTCACACACGCCGACAGGGTCGGCGGATTCATACTCAGACTCACTGGCTTTCGCATCCCAGGGGAGGCAGATTGCGAGGATGTCCCAGACTCACTTGTCAGACTCGTTATCATCATACTCATACTCAGACTACTCACGCCCAGACGTACGCACACTCAGGCTCATTCACTCACAACTAAACCAACCCACCCTCAGACTCACTCGTGGTCATACTCACTCGTACTCAGACCCACTCAGGGCAAGTTTCATACCCATTAAACTCACACTCAGACGCACTCACACTCAGATTTACTCACGCTCAGAGTCACTCACACTCAGACCCACCCACCCTCGGATTCACTCGTAGTCAGACTCATTCGTACTCAGACCCATTCAGACTGAGACTCGTACTCATTACATTCATACCCAGACTCACGCACATTTACTCTTACCCTGTGGCTCCAATCCCATGTGTTCTACGTATGCTCCTATAGATTGGGCCTCACCTGGAGCACGAATCCTAGATGTTATACGTATTGCTCTGGCGTGCCTGGTGTTCTCTGCGAGTTAGGATGAGAGGGCGCCGTTGCGACCGTTGTTGCATCAATGCTCAAGCTTTTGTGGCGTCCAGATGCCTGGACTCCGCAACGGGTTTTGGCTCGTGGGCGCCGTCACTCAGCTCCTCACGGCATACTGGTGGCGGACGCAGCCTTGTCCTACGTGCCCTGACTGCCCATCGTGCCCCACCTTGCACTGTCCCAGCTGCCCGCATCTGCAGTGTCCGACGGGCCTGAATCCCTTGCAGGCCGGCGGGACCGCCGGCGGAGGTCAGAGCTCAACACCTCCTGTGCCGCCGCCTGCGGCGGAGGCTGCTGCTGCTTCTGGGCCCTCTGGCGCCGCTGTTCCGGGTGAGGATCCAACGTCAGGACCGACCGAGGCCTCTTCGTAGTCGGGCGGCTGGCTGGGCGAGCTCGTGGCCCTGTGGCTTCACGCGCTGATCGCTTTGGTGCAGGCGGTGGTGCTCTTGGGATATTCGTGCCTGAAGAACGTGTGCTCTTGGCGACTACCAGGCCGCCGATCTCCTGCCGCCATCGACAATGGTCGCCCGGCTGGGGTACGTCCGCCCTTGGGCGTGGGTGCTATTCGCCGGCGAGCGGCGGTGGCATCAGCGTCGGATCTGGGGGCAAGCAGAGGATCCGCCAACTGGACCTCAGACTCGTCTGCTGCTGAGCAGCGGCACGCCTGATCACGATGTCTACGAAGAAGACTATAGCAGGGACAGCGCTGACATTCTGGGCGTTCGCTTCGTGGACACTCATCGTGACCGCGGAGGTCTGGATGCGGGGCTGCTATACGGGTTCAGGCGACGCTTGACGGTGAATGAGGAGACCGCAATCATGGGGGGGGTGATTCAGGTGGCCGACGAGACTTACCGGGGTTGGGAGACCGCTGGAGGCCGCGCTGCTGTGTTTCTTGCTGGGGGCGCGCTGCGGGCTCTCGACTTCGGGCTGCGCGGCGTGGGAGCTGGGCCGCAACTGGTCGGTGCCGACGGTGGCGTTGCTGGAGGCAACGCTGGAGGTACGGAGACGACCGCCGCGGGAGATCGCGGAACGGTTGTGGCCCTGAATGTGACGGAGCGACTCGGTGGCGACGTCGGGATCATGAGGACCGACAAGGACTGGATCGGAATCCGACGGGTGTCGGTCAGCCTGGCGCTCTACGCTGGCGCTGAGGCTGGACTTGACGCCAGGCTCCTTGGCATCGCACTGCAGTCAGATGGCCATCGCACTCGTATCCAGTTTCGGGACGCTGTCACCAAGTTCGAGCAGACGCCGCTTCCAGGATGGCCGGTGGAGGGCCCCCGTTCGGCGGCGCGGTGCTTCATCTTCATCGACCGACGTTGCAGAGGCCCGCTGGAGCACTTCACGCAGTTCAGGAATCAGCCTCACTTGACGAACGATGACTACGGCGTTGCCCACTACGAGAGCATCATGAGGATGATCGAGTTCTTAGCCCGCTGGGATCAGGTGAATCTTCCAGACCTCGTAGGCGTCGGGGTGGCCATGCGACAGGCACAGCTCTACGAGTACGCGTACGCGATGGAGGCGGAGGGTTCACTACACGCGGCCCTTCAGGCATCGGAGGACAAGAACAAGAAGGGACGCGGTCGTGGCCGCGGCTTCGCCAAGTTCGCTTTCTTGGACGAGGCCTCCGCCTTCGCCGGGAC